AGTGAATTGGGGGTCTTTTACCATGCCTGCAGTGAGAGGACAAGAGGAAACGGCCTTAAGATGTTACAGGGAAGATTCAGATTAGATACCAGAAAAGGCTTTTTCACTGTTAGGGTGGTCTGATCCTGGAATAGGCTGCCCAGAGAGGTGGTGGAGTTGCCATCCCTGGAGGTATTTGAGAGGTGTCTGGTTCTGGTGCTGGGTGATGTGATTTAGTGGTAATGGGGTTACAGGGGTAGTGCTGGTTTGATGGTTGGACTTGATGGTCTTAAAGGTCTCCTCCAGCCTTGATGACTCTGTGATTTCATGTAACTGATAGTGAATACACAGAAATGAATGTTATGTTAGAATATTAAACTCTAAATATAGGAGCAGTGTTCTAACCAAAAGTTGAAAGTATTCAAGGAAACTAGAAATGCCTTCAAAGAAGAAGAATTGAATTCTTACTTGTCCATCAGCCTGCAACAGCATTTGCATATCTTCTTTGTTTTGTGTACCTCCATAAGGCTCCCAGACATTAATCTCAGGCACTAGGGTTGATCCTTCATTCCCTCTGTGTGCAAGGGAAGCTGTGTGTACTCAGTGCTCTCTCCTGCAGGCCGGTACCTGTTCCTGAACGCCATCGCCAACCAGCTGCGCTACCCCAACAGTCACACCCACTACTTCAGCTGCACCATGCTCTACCTGTTTGCAGAGGCCAACACAGAGGCCATCCAGGAGCAGATCACCAGGTGAGAGGGACAGCCTTTAACTGGCCAACATTTAGCTTTTTGCTTTCCTTCCTTTCTTATTTTTGATCTTTGAGCTCTAAGTGTTCTTAACTTTTGGATTTCAGGGTTCTCTTGGAACGACTGATTGTAAATAGGCCTCATCCCTGGGGGCTCCTTATTACGTTCATTGAGCTGATAAAAAATCCAGCCTTTAAGTTCTGGAACCATGAGTTTGTTCACTGCGCTCCAGAAATTGAGAAGTGAGTATAACTTAACCACAGAATCATTAAAATGATATCTCTGAAGCAGCTGAACCTTGAGTTTTTGGTGCTGTCACAACATCCATTTGCTGCCATAAATGCACCTACCATTGCTTTGCTTCTATGTGCAGGTTGTTCCAGTCGGTTGCACAATGCTGCATGGGGCAGAAGCAGGCCCAGCAAGTTATGGAAGGGACTGGTGCCAGTTAGATGAGCTGCATCCTGCATTGTAAGAGTGCCAGCCTGGAGGTCCCATCCCATCAACTGACTGAAGACTCTGTAAGGCTCCTCCTGACCTTCCCAGCCCCCTTGATTGGGTAGACACAACAGACCCTGGGTGAAAGTCTTATGTGGGCATGTTCCAAAGTTTGAAACAAATTTTTTGACTTTTGGCCAAACTTCAGAAGATGCTGTGAATATCATTTGAACTAGTGTAAATACAAGGAACAGAAACATTTGTCTGGACTTTTGGGTTTGTGCAAATTGTGTAAAAGGCAGGTGGGTAACTGGTGCCTGTCCATCTTGTAATAAAGGGGCAGCTGCTGATGCCAAGCACTTGTCTGGGGCAGACCTCCTTGTCCTGACATTCCCAGACTCCCAAAGAATATTGAAAAGCCAGTAACTTATTTTTCTTTATGTGAATGGGGGACCTTTAAATCACTAAGTTGTTTAAAAAAAAAAAAAAAAGTGGATGTGTTTGGAATATGGGAATTCTGTGGAGTACAGGAGGGGTGAGGGAGGGGTTAAGGTTCAGTGTTGCTTTCCCCTCACCCTCATTGAATGCTGATAGACAGCAAGTGGAGTGGCAGTCAGAGAATGCCTCCTTTTTGTTGAGAAGAAACAGGCCCTTTGGGTGAGGGTCATCTGTTTTCAGTAAATAAACCAGAGACCAGGCCTATAGCTTCTTTTTTTTTTTTTTTTTGACAGTTGTAAATTTTGGAAGATGAGGGGTTAAATCTAGACCTTTTCCCACCCTCCCCTGTGACCACACAGTATAAGTTTGTAAAAAAAAAACCTAAAAGAAAAAAAAAAGAAAAAAAGAAAAAATTAAAACAAAAACCCAAAGGACCAATACAGCCCATTTTGTAAGGATTTTCAATGTTTTGTAAAGTATTGGTCCACGTGTTGTATTTTGTAGCCTTTCTAGTTCTTGGGCTTTAGTTCTCCCACTCTTGTATGTATGCATACTGTAGTTACACATTAAAGTCATGACATGCAGCACGTGCCACTGTGCTTATTGTCTCCAGTTCTATCCTGGGCAGTTGGTGTCTTCCAAAGCCTGTTTCACCCATCCAAAACCTGCAGTTTTCCAGTGTGTTTTGGGCACTGCCTGTTGAAAGCAGCTGGGTTTGTTCTCCAGCATGAGGTCAGTGGGCAGATGTAATGAACACACAGGGTCTTACTTTGAAGTTGTGTGGAAATAGAAATGGCTTAGTTGCAATTTCATGAGCAGAGTTTCTCTGAGACAGGAGACTGCAGTGGAGGTATACAGAGTGTAGACAGCCCATCAGTTTCATTTCTAGTGCCTTTCACCCTGCTGTGATGTCCCTGCAGCAGGAATCTGCCCAGGGTTGTGGTTAGCTTCAGTGTTGTTAATATTACAAGGTCCTTTAACCTAGGAAATGCTAGGAAATAGAGCTTAACTTCTTTCTTTTTACATAACATCAGTTTGTTAAAGCTGACTACTTTACTTGACTGCTGTGGTGTGGGCAGAGAGGTCAAGATTTCCTACTTTTAAGGAGTTTAAGGGATTCCATACCTGGCTTTGCATTTGCTGCATAGAGGAAAAAACTACCTGTACCAGTGGTTGGCAGCTCAGAGGGAATTCTCTCTCTCTGTTCCAGGCATCAATCACTTCTATGTCAAGGAGTAGATTGTGGCTAGGTCCTACATTCCATGGCATTTCTTTACCAGGTCAGCAGCTGTGCTGAAACCGAGCCTTTTGAAGTTGGAACTGGGGACACAGTTCTCATTTCTTCTTCACTATACTTTTTACTATGCCTCCCATTCCAATCCCAAGTACACGGAGTTTTATATTGTTTTCCAGAAATTGTATGGCTGTTCTTAAATCCCTATGGTAAAACAGTCCAGCATCATTGACAGCCCCCTGTCCATTCAAATGCAAACAGCTCCTGAATTTAGGCATCTAGTGGGATACAAGAAGATATCTTTTAAGGGAATATCTTTCAAGTCTACTGCCCTAAACCATTGATCAGTGGTTTTTTATGTGTTTGATGCACATTTTGTGTGCAAGCTTTACAGTTTTTAAATCTTGGACTAGCTGATACTCATCTGAGTGTGGTTTCTTAACTGGTAGAACTGGAGAATTAAACTGACTGGCATTCCTGAAGCAACACAAAGCTTATAAATCTTTCAATATTTGGCTCTAGTCCTTTTCTAGTTTCCAATTTAACAGGGTATTGTTTTCATCTTACCAGTCTGGTGCCAGGTTTTAATTGGATTGTTACCAGTTTTGCTTCTTGTGATCTTTTAGAAGTGCCAGTCACCTACATGAGGAGTCACCTCATTTTCTATTTTTTTGAGCATCTCTTCCTCTCTGGGTCTTTTTGATCCTGTAACATAAACACTTGTGCCCCCAGGGCTTTTCCTTTTGGTTTATGTACTTGGATCTGTCCTTTTTCAAAGGTTCTTTTTGCATTTAATTTGCTTAATTCTCTTCCTAATAATGGCATTGGGCATTTGGATATGTACAGAAATTTTATAAAACTCTTTCCAATTCCAAATTTGAGTGGTTGGAAGAATGGCCTTATTTCCTTTTCCCTATGGTTCCAGCTATAGATGGGTTTTGTTTACTGAAGACTCCTTTACATCTAAGTTGCACCTCTTATTAGATATTCTGCCTTTTCACTCCCCAAATTTACTGTGACCAGGAGTTCTGTTAGCAATTCTTTGGAGCTCTCAGCTGCTTCTCAGTCTAAATCCCAGTTGAGTGTAAGCAGTCTTCCTACTTGTGGAGCCTCCCATCTTTGAGGATTATCTATGACCTGGGTTCTGTGGGCATCTGTTTCCAGTGCCCATTCTGCTTTCAGTAAGTACACTGAATTTTTCCTGATAGATGGGAATTTACCAGATGAAATCTAATTCCCTCACATTACCTCCTGCCCTTCCGACTATCACAGCAATCAACCAAATTTACCATCCCTTTTCTGATCTCTTTTCCCCTTTCCTTTCTCTTCCTCACCTCATTCTCTTCATTACACTTCCTTTTTATTTCTCTAGTGCTGAAACATGAGAGTCTGCTGTCATCAATCCACATTCCTTCCAAGCCTTAGCATTATTCTGCAATGCAAAGAACACATCAACATCTGGTACTTTGCCCCATTTTCCTTCCTGGCAACAAAGTAACATTAATTGCAGGCTCCATTTTGAAGCCATTTTCCCCAGTTCTCTCATAGATACAAAGGCCACCACATAATCAACTTCTTAGTAAGCAAATCTCCAAGCTTTCCCCATGGTCCAAAAATAGTCTAAAAGTGAAGTTCTCAAAATGCCCTTCTCCAATGAGGTGGAACTTAGAACACCCATAGAGGCAAACAATTACAAACAGTAGGTATAACAAAGTCTTGTTATACAGTGTTCAAACCTTTTATATGCTTTGGTCATCACCAAGTTTGTGCATATCTAAAAAACCAAGTTTTAACCCAAACCCCAAACTTTAACCAAGATATCAAATGTAATACTCCTCTGACATGTACGTTTTCCAGTATTTCTTTGGAGAGACACAGGATACCAAAATACCCATTTTAATACTGTCCCTATGAAGGATAGTAGCAGCTGTGTGAGATCCTGGTCAAATTCACTATTGCCCCATCTGGGAAACCAGAAAAAGCTCATTTCAGTACTGTTAAACCATCCTGTCCCCAAGCCCTGCAGGCAGGGCTGTAGCTGAGCTTTGTGATGAGTGCAGTGTGGGGTTTGCTTGTCTGCAATACTTGTAACTGCATCAGCAACAATTCCCCTGCACTTAGATGGGGCTTCACACCCTGTTGAAGTAGAGAGCATGAGCTAAGTAAGAAAACTCATTTTTATTCAATAGAGCTTGGCCTGTCAACCGTTAGTGTTTTTTCGTGCAAAACCAAAGTGAGTTCAGGATAGAACTGCATCAAGCAGAGGGTATGTATCAAATTCTCAGCCTGCAACAGCTGTGGAACTGTGACAGTTTTCCTCCAGAATAGTCTCAAGCCCACACAGAAATACCTTCTGTGGAAATAAAAGGAAGTATTTGTTATACTGAGCCTACATGAAGACCAGCTAGATGGGCTTGTACTCTTGCAAATGTTCAGTGTAAAATACATACACGTTAAGTGTTGTATGTACAGTTTAGTGTTGTCAGCAGGTCCATCTGCCAGATATTTACTATGACCCTCTCTAAGGTAAGAGCTAACAGCTGGATTTCTGCCCTCTTAATCTGGACAAGGAGCAGCTCTTGCCTGAAATTTTCGCTGCTGAATGAGGGAATCCTCTGCTGTTCTGGCAGTGTATGTCTGCTTTCCTAAAATAGCCATTAGAATGGCTGGGGTTTCTTAAGGCCTCTGGAAAGAGGTGGTATTTGTGCTCCAGAGCTCTCATGGTACAATAAGGCCACTCAAAACCACCTTTGTGTTGTGAAGAAACTTCTTTATGTAGAGGTAGCTAAAAATCCACGTGTTGTATGAGGGACAAGTGGAGCTGTAGTCAGTCATGCCATCTGTCCTCTCTGCTACAGAAGAGATGGCCGTTGGCTGACCTTTCCCTCAGGATCAGCCCCAGCCAGGTCCTGTCCAGGGGCACTGAGGTTTCTATTGTACCAGCTCTAGCAGCTGATGCAAGATCCTTTTCTGTCCATAGCGCACGTGCAGTGCTTGCTGTTCCCTTCGGCTCAGTTTCTCATAAGCCTCCTTGTTATTTAGCAAGTCCTGCTCTGCTTTCAGGTCTGCCCCATAGGACTCCAGGGTCAGCAGCACACTGTCATAAAGGAGCTTCTTGCAAGGGGTTTTAAGTCTGGAGAGGGCCTCATTTGAAAGGGTAGAATTTTCTTCTTCCTCACTGTCGTCTTCCCAGCCATCTTGCTCCTTATACTCCTTGAATTCTTCTTCTGACATGCAGAGCACCTGTAGGCAAAGGGGTAAGTCACTGGCAGTGTGAGTCCATCAGGCTTTCTCCTCTGTGGAGCAGAAGAGCCACGTGGAGCAGGTGAGTTATTCCTCAGCTACACTAAAAGTTAAGAGACTAAAACTGGCTTAGATACCTAAGTGCAAGTAATTGTGGGTTAGAAACAGCATATCTGGGTATTGGTAAGTCTCGTAAAGCATCTCAGCTGTCACCTACAAAGTTCTGACACTTTTCTAGGACAGCAGTGGCCACAGAGCCATTCAAGACAAATATATGAGTACCCATGGATGGCTACTTCAGGAGAGGAAGATGGGCAACCACGTCCCCTACTACTATTCACACAGCACTCTTAGTGCCAAACTGCCTTCAGGTGCTTATCCCCTTCACTGAGCCATTCTGCACTGCTGATTAGCCCAGCTGCACTCTGTGCTCCCTTTTGCAGCTCTTCCCCCACCTGGCCATTCGTACCTTGAGGGCCACGGACAGCTCTTCCTCTGTCAGCACCTCATCCCAGCCAAGCACAAAGGCACCTTCCTCTCCCACCATCTCCAGCTGGCACAAGAAGTCCCATTGCTCTGAGACCAGCTGCTGCTGTGCTTCACTTTTGGCACCTGTTTGGAAGACGGCAGAGCTGTGAACACGCCCCTGCAATGCTGTTGACAGGCTTATTTTTCGTGTCATCCCTGTTTTACAGAGATCCCTGCGCCATCCTCTCCCAGAGGGGCTGGGGTGCCACTCACGCTGCAGAGCTGCCCTGCGCAGTGTCACCATCTGGATGTCAGCCGTGTCGTGGGTGTTGCCAGGGTAGGGCTCTGCGAAGCCATACATGTGCAGCAGCTGCCAGTTGGCCATCTGCCCATATGTGTTGAAGATTTCCTGTCCTTTCCCCACAGGCTGCGTTGTAACCATCCTCAAACATTGCTGCAAGCAGGGAGAGGAGAGCATCTGAGCTGGGCTGGTCTGACTGGTCAATGGGGGCTTTCAGAGAGCTCAGGTGACCCTGAGCTCCTTCTAACCAAACGTGCAACAGGGCTTTGTTTTAGACCCCACCTTGCTGTGCCCCCATTCCCAAAGGTCTTAAAATAACAGAACTGAGCTGTGACAATGCCTGGCACAGCAGCTTTGCACTCACAGGAGAGTATTCTAGGTTGGCATTGTGGTTGGCCACATGATTCAAAATATCTGCTACAGGTACCATCATGGGAGGATTGGGCCCCTTCTCATCTTCTTCTTCCTCCTCCAAAGGTTCCTGAAAGCTAAGACAAGCCAGTGGTGTATACATGGCTGCACAGGGCAAGCAAACTTCAGTTTACACTTAGATTCTTGTGCAACTGCAACCTCTAATACAGCCTGTACTCCCCTGTCTGTGCTCCTTGCTGGAGCAAAGCCTTCACTTCTCACCTGTAAGCCATGACAAATGCCACCAGCTCCTTATACAACTCCAGAGTGTGCAGTTTCGGGTCAAAGATGTCAGGATGGGCCTTCATGAAAGGCAGGATGATGGAGTTGTACTCCAGGTGGATGTTAGCTAGATCCTTGTCCACAGCTTCTGGGATGCCTGTGCCCTGCAGAAGCTTTGTTCGCTCTTCTTGAGGCCTGTTGCAAGAAAAACAGGCTCTTCTCTGTCTGTGCTAGGGCCAAGGGTCTATAAACTCCTTCCTCCTTAAATATCTCAGTTTCCCCATGCTCTCCAGCTCCCTGTTTTCTGGCTCTGCCTGTAACACAACTCCAGGAGGGCCCCTCAGGCTCCTGGCCAATGCCAGCACAGGGCTAGAACAGACGGTTGGGGTCACCCAGCAGGACCACATCCCTTCCCAGGACAATACTCAGCATGCTGCCCCTGGACTGTGCCTGCCTTCAGCTGTAAGACTGAGCCTCTGCAGGCCCCTTTGCTTTCACCTTACCAGAACATGGGGTGGTCCAGGCTCCGAAAGTCCTGCCAGAGGGAGAAATATGGCTGCCAGTGGGAGTTGCTGGCTGTGTACTCGTGTAGCAAGGCCAGCAGGAGAGGCACCCAACCAGACTGGCTCTGCAGAGACTCCTGGGCTACAAAACCAAACAAGATGGAGAAAACCTAAGTTCTGTATTTCAGAACCAAAACCTGATATGACAAGCCTCCGTACCCATCTTCAGCCTGGAGATGAGGGTTGAGCTTTTATTCTGGTTTGTCTTGGGTTTGTCCTGAGCTCAAGAAGGACCAGGAACTTCTTCTCTGGAGTTATGGATGAGCTCTTCCAGGCCCCATGGCCTTGCCCTCCTCAGCCTGAGGCTCTGCGTGCCTTCAGGAATGGTTCTTTTTCTTATCAGTGCTTCAAGGAAAGCAGCATAGTATGAGTGCCTGTCACTTAGAAGTTGGAACTGTTGCACCGATGGACTTTTCTCCCTGTCCACCACAGCTCTTAGGGAAGTGAGTGGTATCAAACAGCCCTACAGCATCCTGCACAAATCAGGAACGTTCCCGACGTTTTCCCACAAACCTATTTATTCCTTTAAAAAGCACAGCAGAATCGAGTGGCGCAAGAAGCTTGCACTCACCTTCCTGTAAGAGTGCGTGGATGGAGGTGGTGTGCTGGGACAGCAGCGCTGTGCGAGGGATGGTGAACAGCACCTCTCCCGCCTCCAGCTCCTCGGCGGCCAACATCCCGTACCCCGCCACCGCGCCCTCCCCGCTGAGGCGGACCTGGGGCCAGAGGGAGCGGTCAGGGGCGGAGCGAAGAGAGCAGGGCGGCCCTAGGGCATACCCGGGCCGGCCCGTTGTGCCTCACCTTAGGGTTCAGCTCCACCCCGGCCCGCCCGCACCATGCCAGGAACCCGGAGAGGGGGTCGGCACTACTCTTCCCCTGGGCGCCGCTCTCGACCGCCGTCTGTGGATGGAAACATGGGGTAAAACGGAAGGAGCCATGAGGCCGATCGCGGATCCCTTCAGTGCCGCCATCCCAAGAGCCAGTGTGTCCCCAGTTCCCCGGGAGCCCCCGGTACCTTGAACCTCTTGGGCGCCGACGCCATGACGCTGCCAACACGTGGTCCCACACCACGTGGTCCCGGTCGGGCCCTTCCGGGTGGGCGGGGGACTCCGCCCCCATGGGCCGGGCTAACGGCGGCCGAAAAGGGACAGAAAGGGCTGGGGGGAGCAGCGGCGGAAACGTGCCCGGGAGCCTTCTGTTCGTGGGGCGGGGGGGTACTCACAGTTCCTCTCTGTAGGCTCCAGCCTCCGAGCACCTCCCTGAAGGGTCTGAGGTCCTTGTGGTGCCTCCCTGTGGGATCCAGGGACCACCACATGTCTTTCTGCGAGTGTTTCCACCCCGAGGCCGGTGCACCTCGGGGGCTGCGGTCCGACCGTGGGGCCGTGCACCTGTGCGGTCACAGCTCCAGACATGGGTTAAAAGCAGCGGGCTCTAATTAATCAGGGTACTTAAGCTTGTGCTTTTGTTTAATTGACACCACGCACACTCCCACCGTACCTACGGGCTCTGATCTCCCCTCCAGGGCCGTCCCGAGGCGGCCGTTCTCCGGGCTCATTAGTGCTGTCCCCAGCCTTCAGCAGAAGGGGGGCTGATGCCATCACTGGCTGCTTTAATGAAGCCAATTAGTGCGCACGAGGTGTCTAAAGAGGCCCCACGGGGCTCTCTGTGGGCTGTCCCTGGGGCTCTCCCACCCCGTCTGCAATTGGGGTCGCCTTTAATCTTGTCCAGTCCCTTCCGAGCTTGGCAAGGATGTACTGGCAGGGTGGGTTCCCTATGGGGCAAAAGGGCCCCTTCCTGAAGAATGGGGAGGAAGGGCAAGAGAATATGGGAGGTGGCACCTGTAGGTGCCCACCCCAGCTCGGTCTATGCAACCCAACTCCCCGCAGCCGCCTCCCTCCTGCCGTAACGCGGCTCCTGCGGAAGCGCCGCTGGGACTCGGATTCGAGCCGAGGCTGCTGCAGGCACAGAGCAGAGCCCGGAGCCCTGAGCGGCCACAGCCCCCGCTGCTGCTCCTGTCCCCCGGCGGGACCCTCCTGCCTCTCTCTGCGAGCGGCGGGGGTTTTACAGCCTCTCCCGCAGCATCCTGCTCCCCTCCCCGCCTGCGCATCCCTGCGGCACCGGCGGCTTCCCAGGGCGCATCCCTGTGCCTGATCAGTGCCCAGTGAGATTCCCAGAACCCGGGTGTTCAGTCTGGCCTGTGCTGGCAGCCTCGTTGGGGTGGCGTGGGAGTGTGAAATATCAAAGTGGGTCCCCACATTGTCCCTGCAATGCTTTAGGAAAGCGGGGTCCCCCCTTGCCTGTCATAGACATGCACCCCTGAGCCCAAATGTGAGCCTGGATAGCTCAGTTGGGAGAGCATCAGACTTTTAATCTGAGGGTCCAGGGTTCAAGCCCCTGTTCAGGCGGTGGCTTTATCCTTTAGGATCACGAAAAGGAGCATGTGGGCAGGAGGAGCATCCCCTCCTGCTGCTGGGGCCCTGTGGGGGCTGCAGGGTACCCAGGGCACCCCCTCCTTCTTTTCCTAACACCAACTCCCCAAGCTGATCAGATGTGGCTCCATCTCACCTGAGACCCACACAGCATTGCTCCATTCTTCCAAACACTCAGTACTCAAGAGAGATCTCATGTTGGATGATGAGGACAGAAAAGGGAGCTATCGGGGTACACCTAAAGGAGGGAGGAGGAGGATGGATAGAAGAGGAACAGCAGAGCTGGAGGGAAGGAAGCCCAGGCTGGGTTTGAAACTGGGGGCTCAGGGGTAGCTCCAGGCTGAGAGTGGGGAAAGCTATTGGGGGCACCCTGGGGCTGAGTGTGACTAACTCTCATGGGAATATGCAGCAGCCTGCATCTGCCTTCTGGCATGTCCAGGCCCTCTCTCACCTTTGGGTGTTCATCACCCCTGTCCTTACACCCATCTGTGGCTGCCTTGAGCGCCATTGTGGCCCCCTGCCCACCCCAGCTCAGGTGGATGCTCCCTTAAAGCCAGCCCTGGTGCCAGGGAAACCATCCCTGGCCCCCTGACTGGGGGGACAGTGATGTTTTTGCAACGACACTGCACCTGCATCAACCCACGAGCTTATTTTATTGTCCTGACAAACTTTGCTTCCCAGCGGCTCCGATCCTTCCACGCGCATGTGCCACGGCTCAGGCCGAGCTCCGGCCCACGCCTCCGTCGTCATTCATTTCTTGCCAGCAAGAAAACAAAGAGATAATAAATAGGAAGCTTATTTGCAGGGAGGGCCCAGGGGACGGCCTGGGGTCACGGGCCAGGCTGTGCCTGGCCCCGGCCAGGGCTGGTGGGGGGGCTGCAGGCAGGACAGCCCAGCCTCAGGCCATGCACACTGTGGGGCTGGGGAGCTGGGGGGATATAGCAATCTCTATTTAATTACATTAAAATAGACTATTTAAAAAAATTAATTCTAGTAGTTAAAAAAGTGTCATGGTCCATCCCATTCCGGCAGGGCCATGGAACTGTCCCAGAGTTCTGGGGACACACTGGCCAGTGTGGGGATGGACCCCAGTCTGCTTCACCCTGGGCAGGCTTGTCCGGGGGATGGTCTGTCATAGCGGGTTCCAGGGTGGGTGCTGGCAGGGTGGCCACCACGGGTGACAAAGCAGGGCACTGTGCCACCCACTAGCCCTACAGCCACCACAGACCAAAGGCAGGGGAGCAGGCGCCCTCCCAGAACCCACAGCGGGGCCAGTCCCAGGGCCTTAAATGACATGGCAGCAATTGAACTGCCCCAGTGATAGGAGGCTCTCCTTGGAGCCCGGCCGGAGCTTGAAGGCCAGGGCTTTCTCGCAGAGCGGGAACTGCAGGAGCCTGTCCCGCAGGCTGCCCCCCTTGCTCTTGCCCGGGTCCAGCTTGATCACACTCTCTGCGCCCCCTTCAGGGCCCGAACTCTCCACCGACTGCTGGGCCGGGCTGATCTGTTCCCCCTGCCCTGGGGACGTGTCTGCAGGACTCGGGAACGTGGCACGAGTTGTCTCTTTCCCCAGTACCTGGGGAACTCCGGCCAAGCTGCTCTGGGGTGACAGGATGGCTCCCCTTTCCTTGGGGAACTGTGCTGAGGAGCCCCCAGGCTCTGTGTCCTCCTCCCTCCGTGGGGGCTCAGCTCCATTTCCTCGCAGCACCGGGGGCCCCCGGCCCCCACTCACACTCTTCCCAGCCCAGGCCACCCCCGAGCGCCCACCCCGGACCCCCAGCTCAACCCCCGGCCCCCAGACCTCCCCGCGGCCGGGCGGGCGGTGGGCGCGCAGGAAGGCTCGCATCTGCTCCTGGTTCAGAGAGCTGCTCTTTCTCTCCATTGCGCTGGGCCTCTCCTCCTCCTCCTCGTCCTCCTCTTCCTCCTCACATATCTGCTGCAGGGCCGGGGTGCTCTTGGTGATGGTGGTGTCAACCGCAGGGACCTTCAGCAGGGTCCCCGTGGGCTGCCGGCCGCCAATGTCCCCTCCTGGGGGCAGCCGGGACCCCCCGGCGAGGCCGCCTGTCTCCGTGAAGGGCAGGAGGCTGCCGGCGCTGCCCACAGAGCCGAACGTGTCTGACAAGTTGGGCCTGAGGAAGGGGAGAGAGGTGTCAGTAGCCAGCTGGGCATCACAAGGACTGTGACAAGGAAAAGGACAGGGGACCGGCCAAGACCCTATACTAGGGACCCAGGATGGTGGAGAGGGTGACACAGGATGGGGGACAGCCAGGGGGCTCACCTGCTCTGTACCTCCTTGGCCAGGTTGTAGACGAGACTGAGGCGGTGGCCCTGCTTCTCCTGCTTCTCCCGCAGCATCCTCTCTGCCAGCAGGAAATACGTGGCCGTGATGTGGTTGTAGCGGTCGGCTTCCAGCGCCCTGTGTGGGACCGAGGGAGTTGCATCAGCACACAAGGAATATGCTTGGAGGGACCCCCAGAACCCCATCCCATCACTCACTCCTGGATGGTGTCCCGATCGGCGATGTTCCCGCACATCATGGCCTGGAGGATGATCTCGTGCTCCTCCTCAGACACGCGCTTGTGGGAGGTGAGGGGCAGCAGGGAGCGGCTGGCAGGGGACGGGTCCACCCCCTGCAGCCACGGGTGGCCCTCGATCTGCTCCAGGGACGCTCGTTGCTTTGGGTCCCGCTGCAGCATCCTGGAGATGAGACTGAGGGAAAGGAGTGACGTTGCAGCCCTGCAGCACTATGCGAACCCCAAAGTAAGCAGCTTTGCCCACTCTTCCCACCTCAGCTCCCAGGCATCTGCCAGAGCTGGGGAACCCAGCCCGGGGGGGGGTCTGGGGGTACAGTGAGGGGGTGGTGCTCACTCAGCGCACTGTGCCGAGACGTGGGGAGGGACGGTGTAGCGGCAGTCCATGATCATGGTGAGGGTCTCGCTGTCGTTGGCCTCCTGGAAGGGGGGGTGGCCGCAGACCAGCATGTAGAGGATGACTCCCAGGCTCCAGATGTCTGCAAGAAGCAGCAGCAGCAGTTCAGGTTGCACTCACCATGACCAAGGAGATTCCCCACCCCAGGGATCCTGGGAGGGGCTGCCTCACCCCCAGTGGTGCTCCAGCAGAGACCAGTGCTCACTGGTGTGACCAGTGTTCCTTGGACGTGACAGCTCCCAGATCTTGCCCCAAGACAGGGAGACCATATTCCCACCGAGGCAGGGAAACACCTTCCCATCCCCACTTCCAATCAGGTCTCAAAGGACTTCACCAAAGCAGTTGAGGTGTTATCACCTTGTCCAAGCAGGGACAGAAAGGCCAGCCCTGAGCTCTGCCCCTCTCCCTGCTCCCCCTGGTCATACACCCACCTACAGCACTGTTCCGTATCATTCCTCAGCTCCCTGATTCCCAAACCCCACTACAACCATCCTGGAACTGGGCTGTGCTTTAGGAGATATTACAGCAACTGGAGAGTGACATAACTCTGATCTGGGCTCTCCAGCTGCATGGGGATCAGCTGGAGCAGGATTCCTGTCCTGGGGACAGGGATGGAGCCAGAAGCATCTTCGCTGGCTCCTCCTGCCCAAAACACAAATTCCTGCAGATGTGTGGGTTTAGGATGCTGAGCACGCCCTGAGGCGCTCCGTTAATACCTTCAGCTGCTTAAGTCAAGTGTTTGAAAATTTCTCATCTGCGTCGGTTTTCTCCCTTCACTTCCCTTTACAGCGCCACCAGCTTATTTTTCTACCGCCTCCATAAGCTATCCCTGTTCTCAACTCGGGATCCGCCTTTCCCTGAGCCAACACTGGGCTTTTGCCTTTAAGGGCTCGTGTTTTGCTTTGCTAAATCCTCCTGCCCTAATTCCAGCCAGCCAGCCAGCTTGGATACTGCTTCCCTCCCACGTCCCCTCTGTCACAGCAGAGCCTCTTGGAGCCCCCAGCCCAGCTCCCTGTGCCCTGGGACAGTCTCCCCAGACGCCTGCACCCTGGCCAGGGGAGGAAGAGCAGTGGGAGCCATGGGGAGGAAGTGGTTTTCAGGGCGGGGATGGAGCAAAGGAAACTTTCAGAGCTCCTCCGCCCAAACAGCAGCATCCCGAGCAGATTTCCTTCCGGCCTCACCCCACCAAATAACCACCAGCGCCAGATTGCTGGCAGCTGTATCCTCACACTCCTTCTCCTGGCGGCTGCCACGCCAGGCTCACAGCCTGCTTGGGCTTTTTCCTCTCTCCAGCAACCATCACTTTACGGGATCTTTGTGGATGCCGGGATGGTCTCTGCAGGGAAGACCCTGCTGTGCCAGGCAGGGCTGCACCCAAAGGACAGGTTTACTCCTTACAGGGACAGCAGTGCCACCATATGCTTCTAGTGTAAGGGGCCAAGTGGGAGCTGGCAGGACCATGCTCCAGGCAAGGGACAGGAGGGAGGCAGGTCCCCAGGGTACCCCACAGCCCTTACCAACAGCTGGGGCATCGTACTCATCCCCAAGCAGGATCTCTGGTGCTGAGTAGGCCAGGGAGCCACAGCTGGTGGTGAGCATCTTGCCGGGCTGGAAGCGGTTGCTGAAGCCAAAGTCGGTGAGTTTGACCACCCCTTGCTCCTGGAAGAAGACCACATTCTCGGGCTTGAGGTCACGGTGCACCACGTGGAGCTTGTGGCAATAGGAGATGGCATGGACGATCTGGGCAAAGTAGTGCTTGGCCCGCGGCTCGGCCAGGCCGCCCTCGTGCCGCATGATGTGGTCAAACATGTCCCCACCATCACCCAGCTCCAGGATGAGGTAGAGCTTGGCGTGGGTGTCGATGACCTCGTAGAGGCGCACCACGTTGGGGTGCTGCACCAGCTTCATGCAGCGCACCTCCTGCAGGAGCTGCCCTGCCGCCTCCCCGGCCAGCTTGCTCTTATCGATCACCTTCACAGCCACGCGCTGCCCGGTGAAGACGTGCCGGGCCAGCTTCACTACTGCAAAGTGGCCCTTGCCCAGCGTGCGCTCCAGGTCGTACAGCCCTGCAATCTTGCCCTCGCCGCAGCCCTGTGCCCCGGCCATGGCGGTGTCGTCAGCTGGGGACAGGCATCAGGCACTGTGGGATGGAGGAGATGCTGAGCAATGTGGGGTTAGGGACGGAGTGCTCCCAAATACCAGGACCACTGACACCAGCACTGCCAGGACATCAGGTCTCCAGCAGCCTGGGCATCCCTGACACTCCATCTCCTAGTCCCCATTCCAGAACCTAAACCCCCTTCTGTATTTCCATCTCCAGTTCCAAGTACTCTGGAGATCTCAATACTTCCATCTTCTGAGTATCCTAGGACACCCCATAATCCCCATGTCCAGGTCCCCAGCATCTTGAGCCTTCAACACCCCCCTTTCAGTTCCCAGAATCCTGGACATCCCTCTACTTCCCCGCACCCCAGGACATCCTGATACCCTCTCCTCCAGGTGTCCAGAACTGCAGCACTCTGGGCCCCCCAATACTCCTGCCTCCAGTCCCTCAACACCCTGAGCAGCCCCATACCCCTTCTCTCCTGCTTTCCAGCAGCCTGAGCACTCCATACCCCTGCCTCCAAAGCGCCAGCACCCCTGTCACCCCATACTCCGAGACCCCAACATCCTGGGCACCCCAATAAGGCCAACCTCCAGGTATTCGGCATCCTGGCTACCCCAATATGCTCCCCTCCACTACCCAGCACATCTGGGCGCCCTCACATCTCCATCTCCAGTTCCCAGCACTCCGGGTCACCCCCAAAAGGCCAACCTTCAGGTCTCCAGCACCCCTGTCACTCCCGTATCCCCATCTCCAATCCCCAACATCCGTGCCACCCCCATGTCTTCACCTCCAGACCTCAGCACCCTGGGCACCCCCATGCTCCCCCTCCAGCGCCCCGGGCACCCCGATACCCACCCCAGTCCCTGTCACCCGGTGCGCCCCGGCCGAGCCGCACTCACCGGGGCGCGGAGCTGCGACCGCCGGGGCTGCGGTGCCCGGGCGCGCCCGCCCCGCTGACGTCAGGGCGGCTCCGGGATCGCGCCTTAAAGGGCCCGGCCCGGCGGGGCTGAGGCCGGGGCGATGCTCATCGCACCTCCGGAGAGGCACTCTCCGGGTACTGCTGCCTCCGGCAGCTCCCGCGACCCGGCTCGTTACTGCATGTTTGGGGTAGCGGGGACTCGGTTGGTCTTAGCGGTAACGAGGGCTGGTGATGAGCTAAATGAGCCTGCCTGGATGCTTCCAGGAGGAGAGGGAGAGCCCCCAGCCCGGGCTTGTCGCCGGAGGGTCCTGCTGTTGGAGGCTCCTGCCCGGGATGCCCGCTCACGGGCATCTCTGCTGTGCCACTGACCCGCTCCATCGCCCGCTTCCACCCTCGCTGGAGCCTGAACCATTGAGCCGGGAGCGCAGCTCTGGCCCCCCTTTCCCCCTCGCTTTAAGCCGTCTTTTCCTGGAAGCGGCCCGGGAGCGGCCGGCCGCCTCATTTAGCTCGTTACTGGCCATCGGGATGCGCACAAAGCAGATGTTGCTCCTGCAGATTAAAAAGCTCTCAGCGCGGCCGCCCTCGTTCCCGCTAATGCCTTCCCAGAAGTCCTGGCCCGCGGCCCCGCCGGCTGCAAACAGGCCCTAATGAGCTGTGCTGAGGGCTCCGTGCGGGGGCTGGTGTCAGCGGGAACCGGGGCAGCACGGACTGCGGACCCGGAGTCCCCAGGGCTGAGGAATGGAGGAGCTAGGGCTGGATGGGACACTCGGCTCCCACCTGGGCTTTGGGAATGGGAAGGGCTGCCAAACCTGCCTCTCACCCAAGATGAGTCTGTTCCAGGCATGTGGGGTGCAGGAGGCATGCAGGGGATCCTGACTGGGTGTTGTGCTTTGGGGGATCAGATGGGTGGTGAGTGTTTCCAGCAGCCACTCGCAGCTGGAGAAAATGACACAAGGCAGATGAGCTCCTCACTGGTCCTGTGCCTGCTCAGCCTGTCCCTCAAATGCAGCAGGAATCAAATCATGCCAACAAGGGATGTAGGAGCAGAGGAAGCCTGCAAAGAGCCCCAGAGATGGTGCTGCAGCCAGGAACAGTGGCTCATACTCTGCTGGGAAGCCTGAGGGGTCCTCCTGGTCTAGGGACAGCCTGGTGAGGACAGAGCCTGGGCTGTCAGCCTTCCCTGCTGGGTATGGCAGAGCCTGCTGAACCCTTCCTATTATGTCTTATTCCCCCAATTCCTTGCTGGGCTGAAGCCACTGTCACGATCTGCTATTAATGCAGAGCGGGGGTCGTGATGGTTCTTTTGATCTTAAAGGTGCAAACAGGCAAAATGCAGGGGACAAAATCAGTTTATTCAACAGCAGAAAATCAGTTTATTCAACAACAGCAATGCATTTCATCAAATGCCAACAATTCAGTTACGGTAGAGGGGAGAGGTATAGGGAACAAGGTACAGGGAGAGGGGAAGGAAAGAAGGGGATGGGAGAATAGCTACCAACAGACGAGACGGGCGTCCTCGCGGGTCATCTGATAGACGAGTCTTCGTCCATGGGGAAATCTCAGGGGTCTTCTCCAGAGGGTAGACAGGCCTTCATCAGTGGAGAGATCTCAAAGGGTCTTCTCCAGAGGGTCGCTCTTTTATAGTCCTTCTCCAAAGCGAGTGGCCTCTGGCCAAGAGGTGGGAAGATTTATGGACCATTGTGTGGTGCTGCAGGAGACAGGTACGGTCAAGCAGTCCTCAGTTGGTGGTACAACACAACCTCTGGTTGGTGCCGTGACAGCACAGTCCAGTGAACACAATACACCTGCACACAGTCACGAGCATCCACCTTGGCCAGGCAGGAAACCATTGTTTGGAGTCAACCCGGGTGGGGGTCCTCGAGGTCTCCTTGCGACTGTCGGGAAGCAAAAATTGAGGGGAACTTTGGACCGACCCTTACAGTCACTCAAGGCCACAAGTGTTCCCCAAAGGAGCCTGGCTCTGGGGAGATGCAGGTTTCCCAAATGAGACATGAGTAAGAAAGCAGTTAACACAGGTGGAAGCTTGTAGAATCTGCAGATGGTATGTGGTCAGGAGCTGGAGGACTTCTGGAGGCCCTGCACTATGAGTGGATGCTTGCCAGGAGATACAGATAAGATACATTCCCTTTGAAAACCAGTCAAGTTTGGCATGGCTTTGGTGAGGAGACTGTAGCCCTGTTATTTCTGTATTTGGGAACTAGGAGATGTCCTCAGCCTTGGTGCTGGAAAGGGAAGTGGGCTGCAAGGACAGTGGGGATCACTTCCAAGAAACCTGGGAGTTTGGAGTTAACAGGAATCTGTTCCTTCCTGCATCTGTGCAAGGCACAAAGCAGGAGTCCCCCCTTCCCATGCATCACCCCACTGGCTGCCTCTCTATCCAGACAAAGCCCATTTTCCAGAGACTCCCACCTACCTCGTAGTTAGTGAAGTCATGTGGCTGCAGCACTTAATAAAAAGCAGATATAAATCCCAGTAAACATGTGGGGAGGAGGACACAGACAGAGAGCAGTAGCGGTGCTTCCAGCGGGCTCAGTGGAGCAGCGGAGAGCAATCCCTTCTCTGCTCGGAGAGGTCAGTGCTTACCACGGGAAGGGACTTGGGAGTGTGCGGGATGGGATGCCCGTGGCTGTGGGGCTCCCCACAGTGCCAAGGGGTCTCTCCCAGCAAAGATCTGGGTGGTTTTGTGGGATAGGGAGATGACGAGTGGCCAGCATTGGGTTTCTGGAGCCAGATTTGGAACCTCTAGGTGCCCAAGCAGCAGGTGCAGGATTCCTCAGGATTTGGCTGACAGCAGCAACTGGGTTACCACCTCTTGGCCCCTTTCCTTTTGCTCCCTAAGAGCTCACCTACTTTTTAGAGCCTCCAGGCCCCCAAAGCCCACAGCCTGACCCTCAGCCGTGTGTGCTATGGTCCATCTCCCTGCCCAGCACTCAGATTCTAGTGGCACTTCCAGGCTCTGAGTCTGGCAGGATCCCTGGCAGGTGTTTTGGCTACACACTGTGCACCTCAATGGTCTGGTGGCTGCTGTGTCTGGGGCAGAACCTGAACTGCCACAAAAAGATCAAATCTCAGTCCATTCTCTGCTGGTCACCCCTTTCTGTGGGGAGATCATGAATGTGCTCACATGTGGAGTGCCCCACAGCATATGAGAGACCTTTGGGAGGGCTTCTGCTCCCATGTGTCTGTGGGCCCAAAAAAAGGCTCTCAAGTCCAAGGGAAGAAACAGCTGGGAATGGTGGCTGTGCTGGCAGAGGCTGCCCCTCACTGACACAGAACTTCTCGGGATGGCAGGGGTCATGGCAGTGGAGGGGACAGGCCAGGCTGACAGCAGGTGGGTTGATGCTGGCCAGGCTCTTCTGCACAGGTTGTCCCCCAGGACCATGCTGAACGTGCTGCTGCTGTGCTGTGGGCTGCTGCAGGGGATCCAAGCTGTCCTGGATCTCAGGACTGCTGACCTCAGCTGTAGCCACCTGCAGAAGGCGAGTGGTGGGCTGGAGCGGGTGGACAGAGCCCGCCACACCAGCCTGCAGCGGAAAGTCAAGGAGGTGTCTGCAGAACCGGCAGGTGAGTTCTGTGCCTGCCTGCTCCTCACTGCCCCCATCAACTGCTGGAAAACCCTCGGCCCCAAAACTCAACTGGTGATCCACACCCAGAGTTAGGGGATCCCTTTAAAGCAGCACAGTTTCTCCTGGCCCTGGCTAGTGACAGTAGTCTGGCAGCCCACAGGGAGTGGGGTCCTTTTTTTGTGGGGACACATGAGCAAAGGGAGAAGAATCAGAGCTGACCCTCCAGAAGCCTCCTTGTCCAGTCTCTCTGTATCTCGCAGGAGCTCTCCCAAGGCTGGGGCTTGAGCAGATGGCCCTGGCGGTCCAAGAAGCTGATGGTGACCTTGTGCAGAGAAGCAGCCTGCTGGAACCACAGGTATGGCTCCCTGAGCTTTCTTACAGACAGCCCTAAGAGTGGGGCGGCCTCAGGCCCCTGCAGCCTTCTCTGTGTCCCTCGGGCTAGGGGGGGTTGGAGCCCAGCACAGTGCTGCCTGGAACGAGACTATCTGTCCCTCACCTGAGCAGCTGGGATGAGCTGAGGCTGCTCAGACCTGCAGGGGACTCCAGCACTCAAAGGAGAGTGGTCCAAGCCTGTGCTCCTGTAATTCATTTAATTAACCTCAAGTGCAGCCCAGGAAGCCTCTGCAGAGCAGGAGCTAGCTGGGAATTGCCTTGTGTTGCCTGGCTCAGCCCCTAGTGCCTCTGTTTGGGCAGAAGGCACAGCACCATTTGCTAAAGTCCAGGCTGTGCTTCAAAATAAATGTGTGCAGAAAGGCTTTGAGAGACTGTGAATGAGGCCGTAATGCCTGCAGAGAGTCCACAGGGCTCAGCAGTGATTTCTAGAAGAAAATAGAGCCTGGAGTTGAACACCACAGAAGCCTCTGCTGCTGGCAACACTAGGTTTCAACAGCCACTCTTGGCTCTCTCCCACGCAGTTCCTTATTGCTGGCACAGTGGTCGAGGACCAGCTCTTCCCCTCCTCTTCCTCCTCTCTCCCCTTCAGGCATCATCCACAGAACTGCAGGCTGAGGGCCGTGAGGAGCGCTCCCCCCGCCGCTGTGTCCGTCTCCTGGAGTCCTGCCTCGGCCAGCAGATCCCCTGCTGTGACCCCTGTGCCACCTGCTACTGCCGCTTCTTCAACGCCTTTTGCTACTGCAGGAAAATCAGCACCAACATCCCCTGCGGCAAGAACTAGCGCCTGCTGGGCTGCCAGCTCCTCACCCCTGTGTGTGCCTCCTCCTCTGCAGCTCCAATAAAGCAGCCCTTTGCAAAAGCCACTGCAGAGTGGGAATGGCGTGATGTATCTGCTCGGGCTCTCAGGGGAGAGGGGGTGGCAGCAAGGTGAGGGTGGCCTGGGCACAGCGTCCACACAGCCAACACATCCACGTCAAAACAGATGTGCCTCTCCTGGCTACATAAGTGGGGTTTCAGCAGCAGGGGTACCCAAGGTGATGTTCTGGCTATGTTGCTGTTATGCACAAAATCAGGTTTGTTCCTTGGTGTGCACCGAGCCGATAATGACACACTTCAGAGAGACAGTGATTGTTTATTTCAGAGCTGCTCCAGCCTGGGTGCTCAGTGTTATTCCACAAATCCAGTACACCCCACCAGATTTTCTATGCCATTATTTACACAGAGAAATTCAGGGTAAGCAATTTCCCGAGAACAGCTCCACTATTAAGATTGGCTAATAATTTCCATAGAAGTCATGGAACTCCAGCTAACTTATCCTCATGCTCATGGGAAGGGTCTTCACCTGCGCAGGGCCTTTTTGACCAGCAGGCGTGATTTTTAGTGTTACAATTAAGATAGCTCTAGGATACATGAACCTCGAGTATTTCACCAAGTTAACAATGTACATGTAGATGTACATCACCGTCTTGAATTATTACATCATTATAGCTTGTTCCAGGATATTCTTGAGTGAGGGGGGTGCTGGCTGCTGCCTGTTCAACTGATCCCCTTCTTCCTGATGAGGTCTTACACCAAAGAACATCCTGCCTTAAGATAACCTTGACATACCCCACATTTTGCAACACCTCTACATCGCGCAAATTTTAATCTTTTTTTTTTAACAGAGCGGCTCCTGGCAAAGCCCTTTAACTGGCTAGGTATTTCCTGACTAGTAGCAGCGGTGTCTCGGCAGTAGGCGACAATACGAGTTTTACTTGTCTATACTTCTTCTGCCTGTATCGCTCATGGTGGCTGAGGTGTAGTGAAGGGGAACCCCACGCTCGGCGCCGCGCAGCCGGAGCAGGGGCACGGATCCACAGCCGCCGCCATCGCCCCAGGCCGTTCCCGCCTCGCAATGGCTGCCGGGAAGGGGAAGGGGCCGCGGCCACGTGACCCGCCGCCAGTCACGTGAGGCGGCGGGCGGTAGCGCTGCCGTCTCGTCGCTGCCGCCATGTCGTGTTTCCCGGAGCTCTATTTTAACGTGGATAACGGGTACCTGGAAGGGCTGGTGCGCGGCTTTAAAGCGGGGGTACTCCGGCAAGGGGACTACGTGAACCTGGTGCAGTGCGAGAGCCTGGAGGGTAAGTAACGGTGAGGCCTGAGGCAAAGCGCGAACAGCCCCCCCCTCCCCGCCATCCTGAGGGGAATGTCCGGGCTGTGGGCTGAGGGGAGATGGTGGGAGGCTGAGGGAAGGCGAAGGGCTGTCTGGCAGTGGGGAAAAGAGCCGATAGCGGCGTTTATGAGGCGCTGTTCCCTCTTCATCCCACGGCTGAGGACGCAGTCGCTGTCCCGTCCTGTCCCCCCGCCTCAGCTGACTCAGTTTCCCGGTCAGCCTGGCCGTGTGACAGCAGCAGCTGATACAGAGCTGTGAGGGAACTGGGGTTCCCTGAGGTGGCCATGTAGCTGTGCCCTGTGCCCTGCGAGTTGTGGGAGCCTGGTGGGTTTTGACAGGCATTGCTGGTGAGTCGTGTTTGTGCCTTCACTCCCTAAAGGGTAGGAAGCCTTTTAAAGGCCTGGTACAAGGTTGTTGGTATAATCTAAGATCCCTGATATCCATGATTAGTTTTTAAGGAGATCAGGTCACCTAGGAAAGTACCTGCTGTTATTGAAGGTTCGCTAGTGGAAAAAAATCTAGTGCACATCTGAGTAAATTCACCAGTGAGTTACCTGCTGCCTGTGATCTTGTGATCTCTTTAGAGGCTAATTCTGATTTCCAGCCATCATCTTTTGTTCTGGGTCGGTGTGTACAAACTTGCAGAACCGTGAGGATTTTTTTTTTTTTTTTTTTACAATGAGGATGGTGAAACACTGGCACAGGTTGTCCAGAGAGGTGTTGGATGCCCCATTCTTGAAAACATTCAAGGCCAGATTGAATGGAGCTCCAGACAACCTGGTCCAGTTGAAGATATCCCTGCTCGTTGCAGGCTGTTGGCGTACATAGCCTTTGAAGGTCCCTTCCAACCCAAACTATTCTGCGGGTCTATGATCATCTGTGGTCAGCTCATCATCCTAATTAGTTGGTGCTAAATTTTTGCTCTGATCGGTCACCTGCTTAGCAGTTTTCACTCTTTAGTGTATAGAACCTGGATCACAAATCATAAAGATTAAAATCAGGCCTGTCTTGAAATAAACTAGAAATACACGTATCCAGAGATGTTGATTGTGTTGTTTAGTGGAACTACTTATTGGATCATTCTTTCTTCTAAAAAAATTAGTTAAGCATCAGTTTTATCTAGACGATCATTGCTGAGTGGTTAATTGACTCTGACATTTTAGATGAATCCCTGGCCAGCTGAACACTGGATGCAATTTACCTGGAGCTGCTCACTCCAGGTAACAAGAGAATGGGAACTGAGTGCTGTGTTGTGTCCTGGTCTCTACCTTAAAAATTCTCAGTACATTTTTACTTAGGACAGAAGCTCATTTTATGCTT